ATGTGGTCGTCCGGGTTGGTCGCTCTATCGTAAGTTTCCAGGATCGGGGGTTTTTCCATCCCGATGGGCAATGGGCCTCCCTGCATAGTGGTGATCATCGGGTATCTTCGTTGCTCCGGACAAGTGACAGTGAAGGGGAGGCTGACTCTAGGTGGTTTCTATGTCGGCTTTGACTCTTTGGCCTGGCCCTTGGTGTGGAAGGGCCCGCAGCGACTTTGGTTTTCTTTTGAGTCAGGGAGCGTCGCTCCTCTCTGGGAGGTGACCTGTCCCTCTTGTAAGAAACTGTCAGCTGAGGTCGTTCCAGCCGGGGGAGGCGCCCTGCCGATCAGGGAGATGGGCTCCTGGAATCTTCCATGTACTGTGTCTTCTGTAGGGGAGGAGAGAGGCTAATGGAAGCCGGGAAATAGTGTCTCCACAGGGGAGAGATGCTGACTGAGGTTCGTCGACGGTGTCTCCGTGGGGGAGGAAAATGAATGGGAGAAATCAGGCGATGATGTCTCCGCGTGGGAGAGTGCGATGGCTGTTCCCTCTCGGGCATCCCTATTCATTTGTTCTTCACGAAGATCATCAAATTGGTTTGATTGATTGCCGCAAACAGGGTCGTGATGGTAGGATCTGCGCCCTCTAGAATTGGAATGGGCTGGTAGATAGTCGGGTTGCCAAAGCGTTGGACGACGTTGAAGGTCGCGTCCTTGAAGGAGGGGGAGGCGGTGCGCCCGTCCCTTTGGTAATCTTCTTCATTGTGGAGGGCCGCGTTGGGGTCACGGCTATCCCTGTTGGAGAAGGAGATGAAGGCGGATCCCGATGCATCGTCGTTACGTGGGCTGGCCATGATTGAGCTGAAAGTGTTGGAAGATGCTTTGGTCCCTGAGCCGCTATTATGGGATAGGAGAAGAGACGGGGAAGTAAAAGTTTCCAATAGACGACGCCATTGATCTCACCTGATCAGAAAGAATCAATGGTCTGCCACGCATCGTTGAATTGTTGTTTTAACCGGTGTTAGGGAGAGAAAGGGGGTGTACCTGTAAGGCACTCTGATACTTAAGTGAGTAAAGGATCAGAGAGAGAGAGAGCAAGTACAGAAGTTAGTTGTGTAGAAGAATTCACCTGATACTCTAGGGAAGGAGGGTATTTATAGTATGCCCCCAGCGCAGGGCCAACGGTTACATTGCATTGGGCCGGACTGCCAGGCCTAACCCAAGTAACTGCCAGGGCTTTTGTGGCGTAGTGAAGACCAGCACGTGGTCTTCTCCCTGGATCAACTGCTCCGTGATCTTCGAAAGGTGAGTTGACCGACTCTTTCGGAGGTGGGTAGTTACCTGATAACGTGTCCCTGTGTTGGGGACACATGGGGAACGTGGCGGAAGCACGTGAGCTTCACCGTCAAGAATGTTCTCTGCTCGACGCATGTGCCTTGTTGATGCTTGTGCCCGACGGAAGAGGATTGTACCTTGTTAGGCCTCATCAGCATAGTTTTAGGTTGGGCCTTCCCGACAGAGGGGCAGGTCTTGACCCAGTCCAGAACACTAATATAGTGGATTCTTTGATGTATGTTATGGTCTATACTAGACCCGACATAACATATGCAATAAGTCTTGTAAGCAGGTACATGGAGAATCCTGGAAAGGCTCACTATAAAGCATTGAAGTGGATTCTAAGGTACATAAAATGATCTCTAAATAAAGCCCTAATTTATTGTGGAGCCTTGGGTGAAGATAGTAAAGCAACAATCGAAGGATATGTCGACTCTGGTTATGCAGTTGTATGGATTCCAGAAAATCTATTTCTGGATATGTGTTCACTATGTTTGGGACAACAATCAATTGGAAAGCAACACTTCAGAAGGTTGTTGCATTATCAACCACTGAAGCGGAATATATTTCCCTAACTGAAGCTGTGAAGGAAGCATTGTGGCTTGAAAGTTTTGCAAAGAAGTTAAAACTTCAAGGCCGAGTTATCACTATTAAATGTGATAGTCAAAGTGCAATACACCTATCGAAGAATTCAACCTATCATGAGTGAACCAAACATATTGATGTGAGACTGCATTTCTTTAGAGGGGTAATCGAGCATGGAGAAGTCCAAGTGCTGAAGGTTTCCACAGATTATAATGCTGCTGATATGATCACCAATACGTTGCCTAGTTGCAAGTTTTTCCACTGTATGCAGTTGATAAAACTACATGAAGAAAGCTAGTTTGTTTTCTTGATGTTATAGAGTTAGATCCAAGGTGGAGATTTTTGGGAAATTGGATCAAACTCTAGTATGGTCGAAGGATAGCTTCTAGTTCGACAGAAATTAAGTATCAGGTCGAAGTCTATTCAGACCCTGTTGTCGGAGTAATGTGTGTTGTAGTCGAAGTTTGTTCTAACATGCGTTAGTCAATATTGTTAGGGTTGTTAGCATGTTGAATTGGGTCTTGCTTGTAATTCCAATTGTTTAAGTTAGCTTGTTGTTTACCGTGAAGGTTGGTAAACAACCTCTGGTCTAACAAACTTAAAAGAACTTGTTTTAACTTGCATAATCGACCACACTAAATCCTATAACGTGTGTTTATTGTTTGTTTAAAAGGGTTGAAGGTAATAAAGAAAGATTTTAAGGCAAATAACAAAAAGACTGGAAAGAAAAGGCAATAAAGAGAAAGTCAGCAGTAAAGAAAGGGCTGGAAAGGAATTTAAAGACAAGGCTGAAATGTGTAACTTGCAGGTAAAGTTAGATGAACTTTTAATGTAAAGTACTTGAAATAAATTGTATTAAATATAAGAAATTGGTGTTTACATCACATACATTCTCTTTGAAACTCGTTTCTCTACACGCGGATACTTTGAGTATTTTTCAGAGTGACTAGTACACAATGATTTTTGACACACCTTGAATCCTATTACTAAGACTCCTATTTATAGTGCTAGAAGTAACTACTAGTAAATTCCTAGATTAATCCACACATGACAAGTGTCACGCTGTCTGCTTCCATCCTTTAGATGTGCGTCATTTGTCCTGCTCCAAGGTAACTGTTCCCCCTCTTATTTGAATTTGAAATTCTCCAGCGTCGAATGCCTTCCTCGGTCGAAGGCAGCTTTCAATACATAGAAATATTTTCTAAGTCCCAAAAACACTCTTACAAGGATCTGGTCGAAGGAACAATTAATCTTTCTCCAAAATTTAATATCCTAACCAATATTTCTATTTTTAACATGGTGTCGAATCTTGAGCTAACACTTGTACCCTAAGTTAGCTTGTAATGGATAATTGTTAAAAAGCTCATTAGGTTAGTGTGTTATTTTTATTATAAATAACATGTTTGTCTCTCATCTTGGTATAAGGAAAAATAGGAAGATAAAATCCTAATTTTAAGAGAGAGAGAGAGAGAGAGAGAGAGAGAGAGAGAGAGAGAGAGAGGTTATTTTGTTATTCTTGTATACTTGTAATCTTGTTTATAAGAATAAGGAAAGAATAGTAGTTTATAACCAATCCTTGTTATTTCTTGTTGTTTTACCTTCTTTCTTTGTTAACCCTAACCCTTGTGTGTTTCTTGATCATAAAGAAATTGTTTATATTTTGTTTAAGACATCCGATTCACAACAATAAGTAACTTAGACCGCAAGCTAACGACAATAATAGGTGTGGTTCCATAACCACAAACTACAATTTTCAGAAATAGAGGTTGTGAGAGATTAGTCCATTATTGAAATATTGAGAGAGAAGAAAAATTGATCTCCTAGATTAACCGTAACAAAATCACTTTTCTAAATCGCGGTAGCATATTTCTTATGAGATCACCAAGCAACTTTCTTTTAAAAATTTAGACAAATCATTACAAAATAAAAGTAACTTAAAGTTTCTCCTAAAAGTATATATATATATATATATATATATATATATATATATATATATATATATATATATATATATATATATATATATATATATATATATATATATATATATATATATATATATATATATATATATATATATATATATATATATATATATATATATATATATATATATATATATATATATAATTTTGTGTCTCATACAAAATATCGCATTTATATCTTTTGCTTCTTTCTCAAAATAATGTTTTTTTGCAATGCAGTATTTATTATTATTTTTTCACTATACTCCTATTTATTAATTTTATATTTATTCAATTATTCTATTAACTATAAACTATTTCGTATTTGTGTGTTTGATTTATTCAATAAACAAAAATAGTCTTTGATCATGAGAAAAAATCTCATGAGTGCATCACTAATGACATGACAAGTTTAAAGTCAATCCTACTAATTCGATAGTTTGTCTTCTCGTAAAAAAAAATGTCTATGTAAGAAATAATTCTACAAAAAGGAAAGGGAATATGCATTTAAAAAACTAAATAAATAATGAAATTGATTAACAATTGTATAATTAGTTGTTGAACGATTGTATATCGGATTGAGGTATACTTTAATGGAATCAAATTTTGGCTTATAAAAAAATTGATTAACGATTCATCTTGTAATATCAACAAGTTATGAAGAACAATGTAGAATGTTGCAATGAAAAGTGAAAACTAAGGAGAAACACAAAAAAAGCGAAGAGACAGAAGTTTCTTTCATGTAGAAAAAGATATCAATCTTTTAAAACGTCTTAGAGAAAAAATCATTATAAATTAAGAAGCATTAGAAACAACATTTTCATTTCCTTGGAATTCAGACGTAGAAGTTACATTCGAATATTAAAATAAAATAACAAATATGAAAATGACATTGGTGCCCAACAGTTACTTTGTATTTGCTTGGAAGCTGTAACAGAATAACATAACAAAATTGGTTTCTCCATTAATCAGTGACTACAATTTGTTACGTATAATATTTCTTCAATAAAAATAATTGAAGAATTATTATTTGATTCTTATTTTAATATTGTATAGCGTAACTACATAAGTATAATAAACTTTGGAGATATCATTATTAAAAAAAAATATTGTTACCTTTATGAAAAATCCATGATGTCTAACGAGTTTTGACAAATTCAGCATCTGAAACAGCAGAATTCTCAATTTGACTAACCTCATCGTCATCAATTGGTGCAGGAAGATTAAGATCTATAACACTTTTTCCAACTTTTTTTGTACTAAAAATTGGAATTGTTGTTGATGTTGTTGATCCATGCATCACATGAGTTCTTTTGTGTCCACCAAGTGCTTGTCCTGAATTGAAAACTCGGAAACAAACCGGACATTCATGAATTTTCTTTTCGACAACATCAAATTCGGGCGACGATTCTTCTAATGTTGTGTTTGTTTTAATCTTCTTGTGACTCGCTCGGTGACCGCCCAATGCTTGATATGATTTGAACACTTTGTTACATGTTTCGCATTTGTATTTTCCTTTGCGTACTTTATTGTTACTCTTGGTCACTTTTATCAGCTCTTGAGATTCGTCAGACTCGTCTAAAGATCTTTCAATTTCTTCGTCTTCTTCATCTTCATCTTCTTCCATTTCAAGATCGTACTCATCATCAAATTCTTCTTCTTCCTCCTCCTTGTATTGTTCATTTTGTCTATCCCATTTGTCTCTCGACAATTTCATTAGACAAAATGCAACATCTTCTTCTGTTGTATCAGAAACCGAGCTACCCGGTTCATGATCAACAACAGAAGAAGAATTATTCTTATTTAAAAACTTCACTTTCTTCGTACTAGATTCATCGTAATACTTTTGATCAAAGTGACGGATTTTCCACACCCTTTTAGATCTTTTGCGAGTGGGATTGTTCTTCGACGATTCAGTTTCGCTTTCTATATCCTGAAGAATCACAGAACTTGTATCTACCGGTGGAAAAGAGAACTCTTGATCTACAAGACGAATGCTTCTCTTTGGATTCTCTCTAAGACCATAATTAAGACCTTTCTCATCGTCGTCATCGTCTGATGAAGATGAAGCTGATTCAGCTTCAAAACTTAGTTGAATCATCCGTGAAGAATCTTCTTGTTTTGTAACAAGAAGATTCATCATGTGAGATCTCATGTGACCCCCCAAAGCTCTTCCATTGTTGAAGCTTCTATTGCAAAGTTTGCACTTGTATTTGTCCATAAGCTATGATGAAAGGAAGAAGAAAGAGGAATAATAAAAGAGAGTTAAGTTTTGTTGTGATTTGGTTTTGTTTTGAGAGAGAGAAGAGAGAGTATAGGAACTATAAAAGGAGTAGGTGACAAGCATTCCTCTTCACTAAGGCCAAAAATAAATATAAAAAATAAACGTAACAAAAACATAAAGAGTGAAACTTGAATGAATTTATTGATATTTAATTGAAGATGGACATGCAGGAAGTGAGAGAAGAACATGTAACATGCAAGGATTGATCGTTTATTAATCACTTAAGCCTAACCATTTAATTTTAGTTTGAATAATCAGTTTTTTTTATTCGGAATAAATTGGATACTCTATTTATGTTTTGAATTTTGATAAATAAAAACATTAATTTATCTTCTATAATTATAATAGATAAAGAGGGTAACTTTGTACAAAAAAATAAAAATAATATGAAGGGTAATTTTGTAGTTTTAAAATGTTTTAACGTATTTTTTTTATATAAATAATAGATATAGTTCTGAAGTGATATTTTTGGATATTAGTTCTGAAGTGGTAGTTTTAAAATGTTTTAACGTATTTTTTTTAAGATTTGATTCAAATAAATTAATTAATTTAATTTTTTATAGTTAAACCTAAACTAAGCCAAATAAATACTCTTTGAGGTTAAAGAAATCATGATATTTCATTTTTATTCTTTTTTTGATGTTTCTCAATTTTTTTTAAAAAATATTATATTGATGTATTTTCTAATTATTACATTTTTATAGTAAATTATATACTTGAAAAACTATTTTTGTTCATATTATTTCAAGAGGTTCGTTGAAACGCAAAGCGGAGTAAAAAAGCTGAGAGGGAATTCATTCAATACAGAAACAAAAACGACTTCTCCGATATATGAACGCCACTAGGTTGTGTCATTGATACACTATAAACGACAATTTTAAAGTGAAGCGTTACACGTAATTCATATCAACCACGTGTCGTTTGATGGCGAATGGTTTTGGCAGCCACGGTTTTGTGACACCACTAATTAATAGGAAATTGACCATAATCAATTTTCCTTTAAAAAATCAAAGAATATGTTTCTTTTATATCTCAAAGCCAAAGGTCAGCATTAGTAGCTTTTAGCATGCCGTTTGATATTCTAGTTAGAAAACATATGTTTAATATATATATATATATATATATATATATATATATATATATATATATATATATATATATATATATATATATATATATATATATATATATATATATATATATATATATATATATATATATATATATATATATATATATATATATATATATATATATATATATATATATATATATATATATATATATATATATATATATATATATATATATATATATATATATATATATATATATATATATATATATATATATATATATATATATATATATATATATATATATATATATATATATATATATATATATATATATATATATATATATATATATATATATATATATATATATATATATATATATATATATATATATATAAACCACAGACAAACATACAATAAACTGCATCTCTTAACTCTTATGGATGAGAAAATCAATATCTTTAAACATTATATATATTTTGTCTGAATTTTGAATCAGCTTATACAAAAGGTTTATTTTGTTCATTTTTAAAGTTTGTTGTGATCATCTAATTGTTGAGGTTATAATTTCTTGTGTCAAAGCAAGTGTAGTTTGACAGAAATAAGAATGTGTCGAAATTAGCCTTGTATGTGTGTTGAATTATGTTAGATGTCGAAGTGTCGAAACAGGTTGTTTGACATGGGATTTCGACTTAGACCAAAATAAAAATTTTTGGCTTTTGTAATTTTACCTTAGGGAGCAAGATAACTCAATTATAAATAGATGGAATAACCCATATTTTGAGTAAGAAGAAAAGAGAATAATATTGTAACACACAACAGATAGTATAGTTGCACAGTTGAATAATATTTTCTCAGTTTGAGAGTAGAGAGCTACTCTGCAGAAATCATCTCTTCTTCCCATATTTTGTGAAACCCTAATCTTCTTCCTTATTCAATCTTTTTTCTTTCTTCATTAACGATTGTTGCGCATAATCATTCTTACAATCAAGGCGTTATTGTTTCACTTTAGTGAAGAGTGAAGAACAAGGGATTTTGATCGGTTGATTGAATCTTGCTCATTAAGATTGATTTAGAATTCTCAAAGTTTTGGGTTAATTCCAACATCTGGTATTTAAAGCACTGACTGGGCTATTCGTGGGAAGAAAATCACGATGGCAATGAATCATCCAAATTGACATTTTTCGGCGAGTCTTTCGATTCTCGAGAACTATAATTATGATAATTTGTGCAAGCAAATGAAGGTTGTTTTATGTTATCAATATCTTTGGGATCTTATGAATGAAGAAGTAACACTGCTTGCAGAAAATGCGACAGATGAAGGTTGTTTTCTATTTTCAAGATCTTTGGGATCTTTGTTTTCTGTTATCAACGTTGCATACAAAGAATTGAAGAAAAAATTATAAAGCTCTCTTTATAATTTATCAATGTGTTGATCCCGATAACTTTGAAAAGGTTAGTGATGTAGAATCAACGGAAAAAAACATGAGAAATTATGGAGAAATCGTTTGAAGGAGTAGAAAAGGTGAGGTTACAAACTCACAAAAGGACGTATGAATTGCTTCAGATGGAAGAAAGTGAAAGCCTAACTGATTTCTTCACTAGGGTTACTAAATTGGTGAATCAAATCAAAGTATGTGGAGAAGTGTTGACATCAAGATCAATTATTGCAAAGATCTTGAGGTCATTGGCTCCAAAATTCAACCACATGGTAGTAGCCATAGGAGAATCAAAAGATTTGTCAACATTGACAAACGAAGAGCTTTAATGGACTCTTGAATCTCATGAAAAAAATGGTGGCTGAAAGAGTTGTAGGAAATTCAAAGAGTGATGTTGCTTTGCAAACGCAATCAATAAAAGAAAAGAAAGGCAATTGAAGTTGGAATGGCAACAAAGGTAGAGGAGGCTACAATAATTCAACTGGTCGAAATCAGCAAGAAGGAAACTGGTCGAATCAGATAAAACCCGATAACCAAGACAACCAAAGAGGTGGTGTTGCAGGTAGAGGAAGAGGTGTTGGTCGAAAACCTGACAAAAGTCACATTTGGTGTTACAATTGTCAGAAGTATGGTAACTATTTTAGTGACTACCCAGAAAAGAAGA